TAAACGTTGAACAGCAAACCTTTTTTACAGCATTATGAGTTTTTATTCTTATTAGAGCTACTAACATTCGCTGACCCATTCTATTTTTGATTTTCGTTTTAGTTGTATTCATAATACTAAAAATACGTTCAACCACTGCATTTGATATTGGCAATGATAATAAACGTAAAGCGAACTCACTCAGTTCTCTAAAAATTGGATCTTCTGAGGCATTGGTTTTTTGCGAAATACCAACCCAACATTCTACTAATGATATTTCTTTTATGGATTTGTTTGGAAATATGTCATCAAAACTAACTGAACCTAAGGTTCTCCATTGCATTTCTAGCAGATTTTTATCTATATTATTTCCTTTGAACAAAAAATAATATGAATATTAGTTTTAAATAAATAAGTGACACTGTTATTTTTTGTAATAAAATATAATTAGTTACCAGCTGCTTCTAGAGGAAGTTCTAAAAAAGATGCTCTTGTGTTTAAATTTTGGTTGAAGCATTCTGTTGGTGAAAAATATTTGAGTTTCTCTATTATTACTAGATTGTGAGGTAGTCTTTCCAAAATTTCTCGACATAAACGAAAAATAAAATTTGTACATCTTTCCATTATGATTTTTAACTTTTCTTGAGTTAAGGATTGTATTTCAATAACCATTTTACTTTGTTCCTTGAATTGGTGACCAAAGTCAACACAGTTGTGTGGTAAGTGTGTTTCCGATAATTTAAGACTGTTTTGTAAAGTTTCAATATCAATAATTCTAATAATATTCTTATTTTTAATATCTTGGAAAATTGTATTCATATATTGTGGTTTTAAAATTCGAGTTAAGAGAGATACAAGTAGTAACTTCATGTCATTATAGGCCTTGAAAAGATCAGTATTTGTTCCTTGAAAAATAATGTTTACTTGGGTGACTTCGTATAAGATTGGTTTCAAAAATAATAAGTATAATAAATGAGTGTCATCGTTCATCATCTCTGTTATTGTACGTGATGTGTAACATCCTTCTTTACTATTAGATATAATATTAAAATGTGTCGTCAAAGCCAACCACTGGTCAAGCACAGATTTTATGCAACCATACCAAGCCAGCCAACGTGTGATGGATAGTTGCACAAGCCGAGGGGGTTGTTTACTATTATACAATGTTTTAAACAAATCATGATATTTTATCTTTCTCAGAGAACTATGAGAAAACCAGTTACGAATTTCTCTAACTAAAAACTCTAGACTTGAAGGTAATTCATCGCAAGCATTCGATGAACATAAATTCAGAGAATGGCAAATACACTTTATCAATTGAAGGTTAGGAACTATTTGCCTTAACAGAGTAAACAATGAATTTTTTTTCCCGCACATGTTACTGGCACCATCCGCACCGATACCAACTAAATTTTGAATATTCAGTTTTGATTTTTGTATGAACTCTAGAAAAACTGTTTTTAGGTCTTCAGCTGTCGCTTTCTCGATTTCAACAAATCCTARAGAATCTGTTATTATATCTAATGAAGTAGAGCTGTAGTATCTTACACAGAATGCCATAAATTTATTTATTCAAATGTCAGTAGATTCATCAAGAATAATTGAGTAAGGACTGTCTTTGATATCTTCTACTAACTCATTCAGATAAGCTGGCGCAATAACATTTACAATAATCATCGAACATTTAGTTCGATGTAATTCAATATTAGAAAATGGATTTTTTGAATCGCCAAAAGTTTTCAGAAGTTCACCCAAGTGATCCATTGAACGGATCGCAGAGTGATTGGCAATAAACATGGCTAATTTTAAACCCCTGATTTTATCATCATTTGATTTTATGTGCATACCTATTTCCAATAAATTTTTAAAATTAAGATAATGATTTTGATTTTGATAATAACTTGAATGGCGTATTTGACTTAGTTGTTTAGGGGGGGGGGGGCACTAAAATTATTCATGAATATACAACATTTCATGGAAAAACTAATGTATTAGAAACTCCTGACAGCATAATATTACAATTTAGGTATTCTATAAGTATATCGGTATATGAAAATATGTACTATAATAATATAAATAAAAAAAATTCGTGTATCGTGTTGMCCTAACCTTGCCCTATCGCTCAAATACGCCACTGAATAATGTTATACCTATATTATATAACTCACCAAAACTCGTCAATGCTGGTTGTTTTTTAACATTCAAACTGTTGGCTTTTTGAGTGTGTATTTTCGTTTTAGAATGTTTCATCAGGTCGGTTTTATGTGCTCTTAATGCAGTTTTGCATAACTTGCAATAAGCTTCACCTCTATCGCTATCAAAATCGGATGCTCTTTGAAGCCATCCTAAAAGTAATATAATTTGTAACTTACTATAATATTATTATCCATTGTATTACAATAGCCGTTTGAAGTTTATATTCAAATAAATAAATAAATTACCAGAAAAACAAGACAACTGTTCCCAATCAGGATTGTATGCTTTTATGTATTTTGCATACTTGCCCATGGCGATTTAATAACTAAAATAAAATTTAATAAAAAAAACCAACTTGAAAGGAACAAAACTTCAATTTACACTTAAGATGTCGGGCGTGTACTGTGTAGTGTACGTATGTGTACCGTATTAATCGACATTCGACAGACGACATATCCTGACATAGTGTTTTGGGTATTTATCTAAAATTAGAACCTAATACCTAAAGTTTTTAACAATCTAACCTTGAGACCATATAATAAATATTAAATATAATAGGTATTATCACATTTTTCTATCTGAGTCCGTGACATATATACTCATTACTTATAGATAATATATTGTAGAGGTACGTAACACGGCTAAGTAAAAAAAGTTAAATAATTTGAATAAAGGCACGAAATTTGAATAATTGATAAACGAAAAGTGATAACCACGGACCGTCTTAAACCGTGGTGATAACC